TTCTGGAACAGTGTTGTAAATACAACTTAACCACTGATTTCTAGTCGTGTCCTCTTTTGGAAGGCCAAACAAAGTAGTTTTGCTTTCGCAACAAAACACAGCGGGCTTGAGTGAGCGGCGGCGGGAGGGCTTGAGTGAGCGGAGGTGGGCGGGCTTGAGGACGTCGCGGGCTTGCGGCAACCACATGTGACGACCCCGGGCTGGACTCCGAAGCGGACGTCCTCTTTTGGAAGGCCAAACAAAGTTTCGCTTTCACAACGAAACGCACAGCGCCTTCACGACATGGCGGCGGCAACAACAATACTTCAGCGAGAATAAGTTACGCCGCCTTTCTTTGCATGAACATTTGGGTGGGTGTTAGAAAGAGCCGTTTTAGGTAGGCGTGGTTTACTCTTAACTTTTATAAAGAATATCTCTTTGGATTTGAGACTTTAGTCTTTGCAACTTTACAGGTCTTTATGCACCAAGAGCTTGTAACACACCAAAGAGAAAGGAAAAATTGAAATCGCATCATATGACCCCTTTAACTAGTGTGGTTCACTAATGTTACGAAATGTTATGACCTGTTAACCAATTATATTAATATTGGCGGTCCTTGGATTGTCTGAAAGTCTGGATGCAGAGTCCCTGGCTCTGTAAAAGTAGTGAAAACCCTGCCCTACATAACTGGTATCAATTCTAATTGATTCAATTTTAAAACTAGTATCTAATTCACAATATCTAAAATTGTGAGTGGTGGTTTTGTTTGGCATTTCATATTTTGTGCTTTATGATGGTCTTTCTCTCACACAGGTGGGAAACCTTTGAAATCATTGATGCTGACTAATTGGAGAGAAAGGAATGGACAGAATGATTGAAAAGATCACTGGCTTCATGGCTCCTGGTCTGTAAAACATTCCTTTTGCAGAGGAGGGATTCACTCTTTCATGGAAGGATAACTGAAGCTAATCTTCTGCTTATTATATCCGTGACCTGTTGCTTGAGTGACATTGACATTGAGATGTTCCACAAGAGACTTGCATCTTGAGGAACAAGGAACTGGTTATAAAATATCACTTTAACATTTCTTTTTTTTTTTTTGTCTCCTTTTCTTTTTTTCGTGGTTTGGACACTGAGAAAGCTGTGGGAAGTACAACTTGCAAATTGTTTTGCAAGCCCATTAAGATAAAGTATTATCTCCACTGTTGTTTATTTACACTCACTGTTTGGAGGAGAGAATATTTAAGTCATGAGTACAGCCAGAATGGAAAATCCAGTGATTCTGGGACTGTCGAATCAAAATGGCCAAATGCGAGGCTCTGTGAAGCCAGCAGGTGGTCCTGGAGGAGGTGGAGGGGGGTCCCAAACAACGCTGCCAGCCCAGGTCAAACCCTCCAGCACAGTCAACAACGGCGACTCCCAGCCTGCACCCACAGCCAACACTATCATCAAGTAAGTCCTTGAGGGAAGTGCAAATGATGCTGTGAGTGCTGATTTACTATGGTGGTGATTGGGATTTGATGTAGTTTTTAAACCTTTAAAGGCCTGGGGATGACTGGAAGAAGAATCTAAAGCTTCCTCCAAAGGATTTGCGCATGAGAACTTCAGTAAGTCCATCTCTAACACGTGTATATATTTGTATGTCTCTTAAAGTATCCTCCGAACCGGAATCATTCTCTAATGTCCTGCTTGTGGTCGTGAAATTTACAGGATGTGACGGCAACCAAGGGAAACGAGTTTGAGGATTATTGCCTGAAACGGGAGCTGCTTATGGGCATCTTTGAAATGGGCTGGGAGAAACCGTCACCCATACAGGTAAAAGGCAGGAGAAAAATGGACATTGGATGGCAAATATTTCAGATATAAATCACTCTCTTGGCTTAAGAGATCTGATATCTGTACTAATCAATCTAACTTTTTTTTTTTTTTTTTTTTTTTTTTTTTTTTTTTTGAGCCAGTCACAAGCACAAATGCCATGTGTAGGGCTCTATGAAATCACTTAATGTTTTCCTAAATTTTGTTTACATTTTTCAGGATTTCATTAATGGTTAACTTAAATTTTAGTAATCAATACGCATGTTTTTTTTCTGTATCTATGATGCAAATGTAAATTTACATATACATTTATTTAAAGTGGTGGTAATCAAATAAATGCGTAAATCATGAGCAATTCTATTGAATTTTACAAGGTGTTACACACAAGGTTTATAATTAATTAATTTTTTTTTTTTTTTTTTTTTTTTTAGAGCCAGTCACAAGCACAAATGCCATGTGTAGGGCTCTATGAAATCACTTAATGTTTTCCTAAATTGTTTACATTTTTCAGGATTTCATTAATGGTTAACTTAAATTTTAGTAATCAATACGCATGTTTTTTTTCTGTATCTATGATGCAAATGTAAATTTACATATACATTTATTTAAAGTGGTGGTAATCAAATAAATGCGTAAATCATGAGCAATTCTATTGAATTTTACAAGGTGTTACACACAAGGTTTACTGTTAAAATGAAAACAGGTTTTTATTATTATTTATTAACGAGTGTTAATGCATGCTTGAGCATGTGTAGTAGATGAAACCGCGCCAGTCATTCACACCGATGTGCAGAACATGCAGACTTAATATTTAATTAGTCTCGTTAATAGCAATCGATGTCTATGAATTTATATATTTGTTTAAACTTTCACTTTAACTGAATGATAATGTCACTTACAGAAACTGGCTTCAGACTATTGAGGCTTCTTAAACTTTTTGTCTGTCAGTGACCATACAGTTTCCATCCTCTGTAAGACAAGAGAAGCTTGTTTAACCGGACCCATCTGCTCATTACCGTGTTCTCACTCATACCTGCAGGAGGAGAGCATTCCCATTGCGTTGTCTGGGAGGGACATTCTGGCCAGAGCCAAGAACGGCACAGGAAAAAGTGGCGCCTACCTCATTCCCTTACTTGAACGCATTGACCTGAAGAAAGATAGCATACAAGGTCTTTGACTATCTTGGTTTTGGCACATTTACAAGAAGTTGTTAGGTTTCATGTTGATAGGCTTTATACATGATTTCTCTATTGCTTTTAAGTGACTTCAAGCTTTAAATACTTTCTGCAGCGGTGGTTGTTGTGCCCACTAGAGAACTGGCTCTACAGGTGAGCCAGATATGTATTCAGGTCAGCAAACACATGGGCGGGGTCAAGGTCATGGCAACAACAGGTGGAACCAACCTTCGTGATGACATCATGAGACTTGATGAAACAGGCAAGTGTTCATAATCTGGTGGGAAATGTTTTTTGAACTACTTTACATATACCCTTCCGTAAACACTGGATTTAACTTTTCCCTCTGTAGTGCATGTTGTCATTGCCACTCCAGGAAGAATCTTAGACCTCATCAAAAAGGGAGTGGCCAAAGTCAATCAAGTTCAGATGATCGTGTTGGATGAGGTATGAGAATGAGAGCTTTATCTTGTTGTTAGGCTAATTACGGAGTTAACTGCCATAGAGTAATACTCGTATCTCTTGTATGTTCTGCCAATGTTACCGAGTAGGCAGATAAGCTCCTGTCACAGGACTTTGTACAGATGATGGAGGAGCTTCTGAACTGTTTGGCCAAACAAAGGCAAATTTTGCTGTATTCTGCCACCTTCCCACTGAGTGTGCAGAAGTTCATGGTAAGCCCACTGATTTCCAAACAAAATTCTATAAAAGCAAAGTATTTTTAAAAAAATAGATTTTAGTTGTTAAAGTATGCATTTTTACATTTTAAAACCACTGTAAGCACGCCGCTAACTAGTTACCAACTTATGGTAACTGTTAACACGTGAAGGTTTGATTTGCGGTTCATGAGTCATGGCTGCTTGATTTTGGCAAAAATCAATCACTAGTATTTTGATCAAGATTTTAGAACATGGTTAGTAATTTACAGGTGAATCTCAATAAATTAGAATGTTGTGGAAAAGTTCATTCATTTCAGTAATTCAACTCAAATTGTGAAACTTGTGTATTAAATAAATTCAATGCACACAGACTGAAGTAGTTTAAGTCTTTTGGTTCTTTTAATTGTGGTGATTTTGGCTCACATTTAACAAAAACCCACCAATTCACTATCTCAACAAATTAGAATATGGTGACATGCCAATCAACTCAAAACACCTGCAAAGGTTTCCTGAGCCCTCAAAATGATCTCTCAGTTTGTTCACTAGGCTACACAATCATGGGGAAGACTGCTGATCTGACAGTTGTCCAGAAGACAATCATTTACACCCTTCACAAGGAGGAGGGTAAGCCACAAACATTCATTGCCAAAGAAGCTGGCTGTTCAAGTGCTGTATCCAAGCATGTTAACAGAAAGTTAAGGAAGGAAAAATATGCACAACCAACCGAGAGAACCGCAGAGGATTGTCAAGCAAAATCGATTCAAGAATTTGAGTGAACTTCACAAGCAATGGGCTGGGGTCAAGGCATCAAGAGCCGCCACACACAGACGTGTCATTGTCCAGAAGACAATATTTGACACCCTTCACAAGGAGGGTAAGCCACAAACATTCATTGCCAAAGAAGCTGGCTGTTCACAGAGTGCTGTATCCAAGCATGTTAACAGAAAGTTGAGTGGAAGGAAAAAGTGTGGAAGAAAAAGATGCACAACCAACCGAGAGAACCGCAGCCTTATGAGGATTGTCAAGCAAAATCGATTCAAGAATTTGAGTGAACTTCACAAGGAATTGACTGAGGCTGGGGTCAAGGCATCAAGAGCCACCACACACAGACGTGTCAAGGAATTTGGCTACAGTTGTCGTATTCCTCTTGTTAAGCCACTCCTGAACCACAGACAACGTCAGAGGCGTCTTACCTGGGCTAAGGAGAAGAAGAACTGGACTGTTGCCCAGTTGTCCAAAATCCTTTTTTCAGATGAGAGCAAGTTTTGTTTCATTTGGAAACCAAGGTCCTAGTGTCTGGAAGAAGGGTAGAGAAGCTCATAGCCCAAGTTGCTTGAAGTCCAGTGTTATATTTCCACAGTCTGTGACGATTTGGGGGGCAATGTCATCTGCTGGTGTTGGTCCATTGTGTTTCTTGAAAACCAACGTCACTGCACCCGTTTACCAAGAAATTTTGGAGCACTTCATGCTTCCTTCTGCTGATCAGCTTTTTGAAGATGCTGATTTCATTTTCCAGCAGGATGTGGCACCTGCCCACACAGCCAAAAGCACCAAAAGTTGGTTAAATGACCATGGTGTTGGTGTGCTTGACTGGCCAGCAAACTCACCAGACCTGAACACCATCGAGAATCTATGGGCTATTGTCAAGAGGAAAATGAGAAACAAGAGACCAAAAAAATGCAGATGAGCTGAAGGCCACTGTCAAAGAAACCTGGGCTTCCATACCACCTCAGCAGTGCCACAAACTGATCACCTCCATGCCAAATTGAGGCAGTAATTAAAGCAAAAGGAGCTAGTGACTTGGTGGGTTTTTGTTAAATGTGAGCCAAAATCATCACAATTAAAAGAACCAAAGACTTAAACTACTTTAGTCTGTGTGCATTGAATTAATTTAATACACGAGTTTCACAATTTGAGTTGAATTACTGAAATGAACTTTTCCATGACGTTCTAATTTATTGAGGTGCACCTGTACTTCGGAAATGTGTTGAACTTTGAACTGAATTAATTATTTGTAACAAGACGAAACCAAAGCATCATTGCGATTTTTCTTCATAATAGAAAGCCAAAATCAGATTTTATCAAATATGATTAAATGCCCAGCCCTTGTGGCCTCACTGTGTTTATTCATGCGAGCATGCAGCGTATGCAATAGAATGGCATGTTGCTTTTGCTGCCTAATATTGCAGAAAACACTGATCTGTACTTTAATTGTATGTTTGTTGCATTTTAAAGCCTAATAATATAATAATCATTGTATGCAATTGTGTTCAAAAGGCTATCATTGTGGTTCAGAAAGTATTAATTTATGCTCTATTTTTGTAAACAGAACACCCATCTGCAGAAGCCCTATGAGATAAACCTGATGGATGAGCTGACCCTGAAGGGGGTTACTCAGTATTACGCCTATGTAACCGAAAGGCAGAAAGTCCATTGCCTTAATACTCTGTTCTCCAGGGTAACAATCTTCTGATCCTTGTGCATCCCACATTTTATCTGACTAAGATTTGAAAATTAGCATTGCTGTCCTCCTGACTGTTGCAGACATCTTATTTAATGTTTGTTTTTGTTTTTCAGCTCCAGATCAATCAGTCTATAATCTTCTGCAATTCATCACAGCGAGTGGAGCTCCTGGCAAAGAAGATCTCTCAGCTTGGATACTCCTGTTTCTACATTCACGCCAAGATGAGACAGGTGGGAATAGAGAGGGCGTGTGGTGTTACCACACTGCTGTTGGCAGAGTTTTGAAATGGAGCAAGTGTTTATTTAATGAATTGTGAAGGATGTACAGGATTTGTAATTTTAATTACTGAATTCTGCGTCTTGGTTAATGCTATGCTAATACAAGTTTACTTTTTTTTTTTTTTATAGGAACACAGAAACCGTGTGTTCCACGATTTCAGAAATGGCTTATGTCGAAATCTCGTCTGCACTGGTAAGTACAATTGGAAAATCTGGATGTTTCAAGTAGTTTTCGACCGATATATCGGCCTATATTTGGCATTTTTCAAATATCGGCATCGGCTGATAAGTTTTTCTGTTTGGCCGACGCGTACAAGACTTTTATGTTGACTGCGCTGACAGCGGCAGCGCTGACAGCGGCAGCGCCTGGGCACACAGTGCTCACATTCTCCCTCTTTTCATCATTAACAGGTCTGTCTAATACGGATAGAAGTCTGTCTAATAATCAGAAAGAACTGTTAAACAAAGGAATTAAAATGTATACAAAAAGTATTATAACGATTGCTTTTACAGTGAGGAAAAAAGTATTTAGTCAGCCACCAATTGTGCAAGTTCTCCCACTTAAAAAGATGAGAGAGGCCTGTAATTTTCATCATAGGTATACCTCAACTATGAGAGACAAAATTAGAAAAAAAAATCCAGAAAATCACATTGTAGGATTTTTTAAGAATTTATTTGCAAATTATGGTGGAAAATAAGTATTTGGTCAATAACAAAATT